GGGCAGTGCGTCTGATCCCAGATGAGTTCCCAGTGGCCCTGTAGTTGTCTCGAGGCAAGGTGCCTAGACCCAGAAAATGTTCCTACCCATCCAAAAGATGATTGGGAGCAAGGTGTCTGGTGACAGTGGGAGTCCCTGCTGGCCTAAAAAACAGCTATAGGCAAGCAGGCTGCCTTGTCCCAGACAAAGTTCCTGCTTTCTCAAAAGGCTACTGGGTATAGGACCCAATTACCAGGTCCCAAAAGGCACCTGGGTGTAGGGTGCCTGGTCTCAGAAAAAATTCCTGCTGGCCCAAAAAGTGGCTGGGAGCAGTGTACCTAGTCCCAGGACTAGTTTCTGCCTGTCTAGAAGGTAGCTGGTGGCTGGGTACCTGGTCTAGCATGGAATTCCTGCCAGTCTACAAGGTGGGTGAGTTCGGGGGATTGCTACACCTGCTCTCCAAGAGAGTGTGAGATATAAGAGGGAGAAGGGGAATATTGCGTCTTTCTGGTTGCCTGTCACCAGTGTGGTTGCCTGTGCAGTCCTTGACAAGCAGAGCTGATTATCAGGTTGCTGCCCGGATTAGAACATTGCTTGCAAATATTTAGTATCACCATGCTGTCAGGCTAGTCGACAGTCCATAGCTCCATTTGCCTCCCTGTTTGCTGTTTTCACTGATTTTCTTCTACTAGTTGGTATTTAATTCATTTATTTATCCTTCCCTTTGAAGGTCAGTGTTCTAGGTTTATCCTCTGTGTCTGTTTCGGTTAGTTTCTGTTGTAGCGGGTTGTTGCCTGTTCTCCCGTCTTCCACACTTAACAATTTTAATACAAATTGTCTTATACCATTGATTACAATTTTCACAATGTGTCAGCATTCTAATTGTTTCCTTTCTGTTTGTCCTGTTCCCATTGATCTAGCTTATCTTTCCCTCCTTGACTTCTCATCTTTGCTTTTGGGTAAATGTTGACTATTTGGTTTCATACAGTTGATTGTTCAAGAGCGTACATTCCTTACTGGTGATACTGTTTATTTTATAAGCCATTCTATCATTTGACTAAACAGTGATCTCCAGAAGTGTCTGTCTTAAGTTCAAAGGATATTTTAGGGTAATAGTCTCAGGGTTCCTGTAGACTCTATTGGTCCAGTAATCTGGCTAATTATTATTATTTTTTTAGTAAATTGAGTTTTGTTCTATATTTTTCTCCCATTCTGTCTGATACTTTGTATTGTGCCCTTGATCAGAACAGTCAGTAGTGGTAGCCAAGCACCATCTAATTCTTCTGGTCTCAGGATAGAGGAGGCCATAGTTCACGTGGGCTATTAATCCTGTGGACTAGTTTCTTTAAGTATTTGGTTTCCTTCATTTTTATTTGTTCTAGACAAGTAGAGACCAATAGTTGTAGTATCTTAGATGGCCGTTTTCAGGCTTTTAAGACCCCAGACACTACTCACCAAACTAGGATGTAGAACATTATTTATGAACTATGTTATGCCAGTTGACTGTGTTGTTTCATGAAACTATGGTTCTCAGCCTTTTAACACAGTACAGTCCTGCAAGGTGTTTGGCTATGTCTAAGAAGTCTCAGGAACTGTGCCCCTATGTGCTTTATCATATATATGCAGCATGTTGTTGTTGTTGTTGTTATGTGCCGTCGAGTCGGCCCCGACTCATACATGCAGCATACACACACATATATATACATATGCCTACAGATATACCTATATATGCATATACATATACTCACATATGCCTTCCTACGTACATATGTACATACATGTATACTTATGTATCCACACTCATATTTTTTTGATGGAAAATTGAATATGTTGTAGCATTTACCAAAATTGCCACTTATTCTTGCATACTTTTTAGTGTCTTCATTTGCCTTGTGCATACTTCACCCATATGGGGTGTTGCTTTTCCTATCACCAAAAATAACAATGTCTGCTATCTAGAAAGTGATTCACCTTCCTCCTTCTCCCATCCCTGGTTATCATCAGAGCACTTTGTTCTGTGTGTATACCTATTCTTGATGTTTTATAATAGCTAGACCATATAATATTTGTCCTTTTGTGACATACTTCACTCAGCATAATGTTCTCCAAATTGATTCATGTTATGTTATGCAGAGACCTCATTGTTCTTTATAATTATGTAGTAGTATTCCTTTGTATATTTATACCACTACTTGTTTATCCATTTATCTGTTGATGGGCACATAGGCTGTTTCCACCATTTTGCTATTGTAAATGATGCTGCAAAGAGCATAAGTGTACATCATTGTATTTTAAAACTATTACTTTATATAGTAATTTAGAATTTTGCTAATGCATTTTATATAGTGTTGCAAGTATGCACAACAAAGCATTTACCTGTTCTACATGCACAGTTCAGTGAAACTGATTATATCCTTCATGTTGTTCAACCCTTATCCCAATCTTTTTCTTAATTATTTTACCAGATTAATGTAAATTCAGTGTCCCTTCCCCTCTGGCAAAAACTCCCTCTTCTACTCTCTCATCTCTGATAACCACTAGTAAACTTTGGTTTCTCTATATTTGTCTGTTACATATAAGTGAGATCATACAGTATTTATCCTTTTGGAACAGACTTATTTTGCTTAGCAAAATGTCAAGATTTATCCATGCTGTGGCATACAACAGGACTTCATATCTCTTTATGGCTGAGTGATATTGTATATTTGTGTCACGTTTTGTTTATGCATTCTTCTGGGAATGAAAATTTAGGTTTTTTCTACCTTTTGACTTCAGGGAAAAGTGCTTCAGTAAACACTGGTGTAGATTTCTGTTTGCATTCCCACTTTCACTTCTATTGGATATGTACCTAGGATTGAGATTGTTAGACCTTTGGAGGAACCATAAAACTATTTTCCACAGTGATTGTACCAGTTTGTGATTCCCACCATCAGTGGATGAGAATTCTGATTTCTCCACATCCTAACACTGCTTTTTTATTTCCTATTTTTTTAAATGTTTCCCATTCTAATGGGGATGGGATAGAATCTTGTACCTAATACGTTATTTTCATAAAAGACAATTTTATTCTGGAGAGAGACAAAGACAGGGAATATAGAGGTCTGTACTATAAACAAATTGTAAAAGTTGAGTAAGATGTTTCAGTGGAGACATAGCTAGGTAAGTTTAATTATGCTGTTGCATAAACACATAGTTTGGAGTAAATGACTTGTTCTGAACTTCTTATTTTAAGTGATATTTTTATGGTTATATGATGTATGTTTAAATGATTAGAGGTGAGTGACCGAATTTTTCACTTTAAATTAATCAAGTAAAATTCACAGCTGGTAACATTTAAATTCCATGCAGTTTACTTTTGCTGGTGGAAAGGTTCTAATTATTATCCATATGATTAATCTTTGTTAGAGGCCTAGATCTGAATTTAAGGTATATGGGTATAAGGTGAGTAGCAAAAAAAAATCTTGATTTCCGTAAAATTTAATATCAAAGGTACTTTTGATATAGAAATATTATAACAGGGTATCTATTTTCATATGTTTATAGCTTGTGCTCTATAGTAAATTTAATATTTTTATCTCAAAATAATTGTTCCTATTATATTTTAGAACAAAAAGGGTTCCAGCTATTTTTGGGGAGATTTTTAAAAACTGTGTTAAAATATATATAACATAAAATTTGCCATTTTAACTACTTTTAAGTGTATAATTGATTGTCATTACATTCACAGTGTTGTACAGCCATCACTATTATTTCCAAAATTTTTCACTGCCCCAAATAGAAACTCTGTATCATTAAGCAGTAACTCCTCATTCTTCCCTCCTTTCACCTCTGGTAATCCGTAAATGTACTTTTTGTATCTGTGGATTTGCCTATTCTAGATATTTCATGTAAATGGAAGAACCATAACAACATATGTTTTTTTGTATCTGGCTCATTTCACTTAGCGTAATGCTTCTCTTTGATTTTAGTGTTCTTTTTTATTCTTACTTGTTAACTCTGGATTCCTGTTGGTTTTTAAAATTTACTTGAGAAGAATTCACTGAAACTTCTGATACTTAGAGGTGGACGGAGTCTGTCAACATTGTTTCTTCATGTGTAGCGACTAAAGTTTGAAGTAAGTTAGTGGTGGTATAAATACCAACCAACCAACCTCACTGCCCTCTAGTTGGATCCAACTCATAGTGACCCCTCCTTGGGTTTCTGAGGTGGTATCACTATGGAAGTAGATTGCCCAACTTTCCTTCTGAGGAGTGAGTAGCTGGTGGGTTTGAACTACCAGCCTTCTGGTTAATAGTCGAATGCCTTAGGCACTATATCACCCGAACACCCAGTGGTATACATAGGTACCATTTAGTAGGAAAGTTATGAGACATTATCTTACTAGTTAGGATTCTATAAATTGCAATTCCCTGTGGCACACCCAAAAAACCAAACTCACTGCCATTGAGTCGTTTCCTACTAATAGTGACCCCTCCCTGAGTTTCCGAGGCGGTATACTATGGAAGTAGATTGCCCAGTCTTCCTTTCAAGGAGTGGCTGGTGGGTTTGCACTGCCAGCCTTCTGGTGGCACATATAGACCTAAATTTCTTTGTTCCATTTCCTTTTATGTTCTGATCTATCAGTAGATTTTATTTACCTTTTAGTTGAAATTCTTATTGAGTAAAGTAAAACAATTTTTCATTTCTCTAAAATTTCCTTGTTTCTGTGTTAGATTACCATAATAACATTAGAACTCCCTTCATGAACATATTGCTATTATTTATTTAGTGGGCTTTAACCTTCCATATAGATTTCTGAACTTTGATTTTTTTTAAAACTATTTCTTCAGTTTGAGAACAGATTTTAAAAGTTAATTTCTATGCCTTTTAGCATGTATTATAAATGTATTTTTGCAATTTGAATAACAGATATTCTTTTTTATCCAATAGTTTGCTTGCCTAAACTGGATTGGAAGCAATTCAGACTACTGGAGATCTGCCTTTCAAAATACCGCAGTTGAAAGGAAGCAGGTTTTCAAATAATGGAAGAGTCTAAGACCTCTAAAAATGAAAATCATGAACCAAAGAAGAATGCTTGGGCTATTTGTGAAGAAAGCAAAGCAGTAAAAGTTATAAATAATCAGACTTTGAAAACAAGAAATGATAAATCCTTTAAAGAAATTGGGACCAGCTCTCCAAATAGGAATAGTAGTAAAAAAAATAAGCAAAATGATACTTGTATAGAAAAAACGGAAGTTAAATCATGCAAGGTAAATCCTGCCAGTGTTCCAGGCCCTAAAGATTTGGGGTTGGTCTTTCGAGATCAAAGTCTTTGCAAAGCAAAAAAATCACCTAAGTCGCCACTAAAAGTCGAAAAGGCGTCTATTTCACAGGCAAAAGTAGAAAAGACACCTAGTTTACAGGCAAAAACAGAAAAATCACCAAAGTCACCTAATTCACCAGTGATAGCAGAAAAGACACCTGGTTCACAGACAGCAGCAGCAAAAGCACTTAGTTCACAGAGAAGAACAGAAAAAGTACCCAGTTCTCAGATGAAATCAGAAAAGGTGCCTAATTCACCAGCAGAAGCTGAAAATGTGCCCAGTTTACTGTTGAAAGAAAATATGAGACAGATGGAATTACAGCAGATTGGGAGAAAAATTCCAAGCTCCTTTACTTCTGTGGACAAAGTGAATATTGAAGGTGTACAGGGGAAAAAATGTGCTCTGGAAAATTCATTACGATCTCAGAAGCAACAGACATGCACAGATAATATTGGTGATTCTGATGATAGTGCTTCAGGAATTGAAGACATATCGGATGATTTGAGTAAGTAGAATTTTTCCACAAATCAAGTTTTAGGAAGGATTTTCCTCTATTAATATTCTCTAGGTTATCCCTAGTTTGATTTTAACTACTTTAATTACAGAAAGGACATTGGCACTATGGCTCTTATAGCTAACAAACAAACAAACAAACAACGCTTTGCATTTATTGTAGCCATGCATATACTTATAAATGCACCTACTTTAGATTGCTCATTCATCTGCCAAACATGTACATATTGAGTTTCCATTATATGCCAAGCATGCGTTTATAGTGGAAAACAAAAGCTAAAAGAAAATCACAGCCTAGACCTCAAGGAATCTTCCAATCTGATGGGGGTAATAAAGATAAGTAAAGCAACCATTAAAGTAGGGAAAAGTATAATGTTAATGTGAGACTGAGTTTGAGTAGGGAGTTGAGTGGGAAGAGATGAGACTGAAAAGGCACACAGGAATTGGAGACTTCAGGGCCTTGTAGGCTGTGACAAGTAGTAAGGAAAAATCTTTTTGGAAATTCTTACAAATTCTGTAACAGAGGACAAGACTGGCAGCAAAGAGATTGGTTAGGACACTATTTAAATTATTGAGAACTGTTAGTATATAATTCATTTTGTGTTGAGTTCCTGATTTTATATTGAATTAATTATTTAAAAACATTATCCATGTCTTTTGTATATGTCAATCCTAATTTTGTTTGAAATGATTAATTTTCCTTGATAATCTTTTTTCTATTTATTTATTTGACTAAAAGCCTGACCTTGATATAGAAATAAATTGAAACCATTTCTAAACTCATTTTTTTAATTGCTTTGAGAAACCCAGGTTAAAGAGCTCAGAAATAGCTTCTTTTCATTTCTCGTGGTACACAGATAATGGCATATGGACAGACCCTTTTATGTTAACAGAAGTGTGTTTATTTTGGTAGCCCCTGGGTGATGCAAATGTTTAATGTGCTCAACTGCTAACTGATAGGTTGGTGGTTTGAATCCACTCAGAGGCACCTCGGAAGAAAGGCGTAGTGATCTACTTTCAAAAAATCAGCCAGTGAAAACCCCATGGAGCAGTTCTTCTCTGACACACATCGGTCACTGTGAATTGGGATCAGTTTAGCAGCAACTGGTTTGCTGGTTGTTTATTTTATGTGTATAAGAAAAGATACCAGCTTCATGATTTTACAGATATGGTTTAGGACAAGAACGTGTTTAAAAAGTAAATTTAATGGCAGTATCAAATAAGTATTAGTATTGCTAATGTTTAGATGTGGCAAAATCTAAATATGGTGGTACATGAATGATTGAAGTTTGGGAAATACTGGTGCATAAGATCACTTAATTAAGGGATAAATCATTTTAATTAGTGAAAAATATTTAAAAAGTAAAGGCAACAAAACAGATGAGGTGCCATTTTTAAATGATAGTGAGATGGTTAAGGGTGTGGGTGACTTTGAGTTTTGAATCCCGTTCTTCCCACTTAATAATTTTGTAATCTTAGATAAGCTACTTAGCTCTTTAAGTTTCCTCGTTTTTAAAAAGTGGAGATGATACTGCTGATGTTATGACAATGAAGTGAAATAATTCATTAGAGTGTTTAGGTTAGGACCTGTCACATAGTTGGCATGCTGTGGCAATTAATATCTACTATGCAGGTTGGGAGCTCTGGTAGCATAGTGGCTAAGGCACTTGACTGCTAACCAGAAGGCTGGCGGTTCAAACCCACCAGCCACTCCTTGGAAGGAAGGTTGGGCAATCCTACTTCCGTAGTGATACTGCCTCGGAAACCCAAGGAGGGGTCGCTATGAGTCAGGGCTGACTCGACGGCACATAATAACAACAACAACAACATGCAGGTTGGAGCTCTGGTGGTGCAGTGCCGAAGGCATTTGACTGCTAACCAGAAGGTTGATGGTTCAGACCTACCAGTTACTCTGCAGAGGAAAGACTGGGCAATCTAGTTCCATGAAGATTTACCATCTTGGAAACCCAATGGGGGTCACTATGAGTCGGAATTGACTTGATGGCAGTGGGTTTGGTTTTTCGTTTTATTATGGGGGTTGCTATGAGTCAGAATTGACTTGATGGCAGTGGTTTAGCTTATTATCGGTGCAATTCAATGCAGTTTCACTATCTTTTTTTTTTTTTTTAAATTGTGATGAGTATACAGGTAACAGTGTTTATCATTTCTTTACTTACACAGTTCAGTGACTTTAATTACATCTGTCACCCATCACCGTTAACCATTTTCAGATTTTTGTACCACTTTTTTACAGAAGTTTGGCGTTCTCTAAGCATTGTTGCTTCCTTTTCCCCTCCCTCCCACTTATCCCTGGTTGTTTGTTGTCAAATAATTTTCAACTCATGGTGACCTTATAGAATAGAGTAGAACTGCCTCATAGAGTTTCCTATTCTTTACAGGAGTATATTACCAGGTCTTTACACCTGCAGAGCTGCTAGTGGGTTTGAACTGCAAACCTTTTGGTTAGGAGCTGAGCACCTTAACCATTATGCAACCAGGGTTCCTTCTGTTCCTGGGAACCCCAGTAAACTTTGGTTTCTATATACTTACTTATTTTAGATATTTTATGTAATTGGATCATAGAATTTTTGTCCTTTTGTCACTGACTTATTTCACTCAGCATAATGTGTTATTTCTTAACATGAACAACCAGTTGAACTAGCTTAAGGGAAACATTACTCAATAAAGGTCCTTTTAGGAATTTCAGTTTAACAAATTCATAAGAATAATTTATAGTATAGTAATCATGTTTTAATAAGAACTTTCTAATATTTTTAATAATTCTCTTCAATATATATATTTGCCTTGAAGTTGTTGTTGTTGTTGTTATGTGTCATCGAGTCGGACCTGACTCATAGTGACCCCTCCTTGGGTTGCCAAGGCATATCTATACCTAATTATTTAGCACTTTTACTGATATCAAAAATCCAAGTTAATTTGAATTTTACAAAATCCAAGTTAATAATTTGAATTGTTTTGATTATCTCTTTGTAAGTTAATAAAATCTTTACGTCTTGATCTTTGTTTGGACTTAATAGATTATATAGAAATTTGATTAATCTGAGTGTTCTTACTCAGCCCAACTTTAGCACTTCACCATTTTTCCTGTTACTATTTATTTATTGAATAAAATAATTTTTTTTTTTGGTGTCTGCTATGAGCCATGTACTGATCTAGTCTCTAGGAATTGCCCTTGTGGGGTTTATATTCAAATGGGAAGTGATAGACAATAAACACAATGAATAAGAAAAATATGTAATATATTAAATGGTCGTAAATCCTATGAGAAGGCTGTGTAACAGGAAAAGTCATAGGGAATGATATTACTATCACTATTGCTACTGGTGGTAGTTTAAATTTCAGTTGTCACTGAAAAATGACATTAGAGCAAAGACTTGAAGGAAAGAGGTAAGAGTGTGAGCCATCTTGATATATTTTGTTTATTCGTTCATCAGATAATTAATGAGCATTTTATTGACCATGTGGTAAATATATAGACACTATTCTAAGCACTTTATATATTTACAAAAACATTAGACAAATCCAAGATCTCATGCATTAGTTATCTCCTTTTACTCTAACAAATTACAAATTTAGTGGCTTAACACAAATTTATTATCTTACAGTTCTGTAGGTCAGAGGTTCAACCTGAGTCTCACAGAACTAAAATCAAAGTGTTGACTGGGCAGCAGGGTGACATGGCTTTTAAGCCAGTTTGTTATGTGAGGGGAGAATGTTTTAGCTCTGGGCTTCTCAAACTTCAGTATATATATGAATCACCTGGTGATTATATATATGAATCACCTGCTAAAAATGTAGATTCTTAGTCCCTATTACCAGAGATTCATGATTCAGGTCTGGAATATCAAAATAAAAAGACAGACTTTTTGCCATCAAGTCGATTCTGACTCATAGCGACCCTCTTTGGGTTTCCAAGGCAGTAAATCTTTACAGAAGTAGATTGCCCAGTCTTCCTTCTGCAGTGCGGCTGGTGGGTTTGAATTGCCAGCCTTCTGGTTAGCAGTCATATGCCTTAGGCACTACGCCACCAGAGCTCCTTCAGATCTGGAATGAGGCCTGAGAAGTTGCATTTCTAGCAAGCTCCCAAGTGATGCTGCTGCTGTTGGTCAGGATCATAAGTAGCATGCCCTAATTCATCTCATTGCTTTCACACATACCTCCCATCACTCTGAATGATCCTGTTAAAATCTGAGTCACATTATGTCTCATTCAAAATATTTTAATGGTTCCTCATATTATCTGTGTAAAAACTAGCGTCCTTACAGTGACTGGTCAGGCCATGTGTGATCTATGACACTCTCTTTCTTCTTTTCCCTTATTTATCTACTTCTCGCCCTTTCTCTCTCTCTGATGGAGTTATACTGCCTCCTTACTGTTCCTCAAATGTGTGAGCATATAGCTTCCTCATGGCCTTTTCAGTTGCTTTTTCATCTGCCTGGAACACTCTTCCCCAGATATCCATATGGCTAGATCTCTTACCTCTTTCACCTTGCTAGTAAGACTTCTGCTTGGGTCACTTATGTTAAAGTCACAACCTTCATCTCTATCTCTAATATTTCTCCATTCCTTTTTACTGTTTAATATTTCTCCATTGTCTTTATCAGCATCTGTCATACTTTTTATTTTTCTTATTTAGCTTTTTAAAAGCAATTTTATTGAAATACAATTCATAATCATAAAATTGACTCATTTTAAAAAGTAACAATTCAGTGGTTTCACAAAATTACACAGCCATCACCACTGTTTAATTCTTAAACATTTTCATCACCTCAAAAAGACACTTCCCTTTTCATTGCAATCATTACTCATTCCTCCTTCCTCCTATCCTCTGACAGCCATTGATGTACTTTCTGTCTTTATAGTTTTGCCTATTTCGGATAAATGGAATCATACAACATACGGCCTTTTGTGTCTGTCTTTTTAGCATAGTGTTTTCAAGGTTCATTCATGTTGTAGCATATTAATACATCATCTCTTCTGCTGAATCATATTTCATTATACGAGTATCATATTTTGTTAGCTGTTTGTCAGTTGATGGACATTTGGATGTTTTCACTTTTTGGCTATTATGAATAATGTTGCCATGAACATTTGTCTGAAAGTTTTTGGGTGATACTTGTTTTTATTTCTTTTGAGTATATACCTCGGGGTGGAATTGGAGTCTCTGGGTGATACAAATGGTTAAGTGCTAGACTACTAACTAAGAGCTCAGTGGTTCAAACTTATCTCAGGCTCCTTGAAAGTAAGGCCTGGTCATCTGCTTCTGAATGGTCACAGCCTTGAAAACTCTATGGAGCAGTTCTATTCTGCACACAAGGGGTTGCCGCGAGCAGGAATCAACTTGATGGCAGCCAACAACAACATGGTAACTGTATGTTTAACTTCTTTTATTATGGTAAAATACACATATGTTTTAACCATTTTAAAGTATATAATTCAGTGGCATTAATTTAAATGGATTCATAGTGTTTTATAGCTGAAACTATTTAGTTCCAGAACTTTTTTGTTATCCCAAAAGGAAACTTTGTACCCATTAAGCAGTTCCTCCATATTACCCTCTTCCTCCTAGCCACTGGCAACCACTAAACTGCTTCCCATCTATGGATTTGCCTATTCTAGATATTTCACAGAATTGAAATCATACAGTAAGTGGCCTTTTGTGTTTGGCTTCTTTCGCTGAAATAATGTTTTCGAGGGTGATCCATATTGTAACGTGTCAGTACTTCATTCCTTTTCGTGGCTGAATAATAAACACTACACTTTGTTTATTCATTCTTCAGTTGATAGATATTTGGTTTGTTCTATTTTTTAGCTATTGTGAATATTACTGCTGTGAACATTAGTGTAAAAGTTTTTGATTGAGCATGTTTTCAATTCTTTTGGATATATCCCTTTTGGGTAAGGCCGTGTGTAATCTGTGACACTCTGCCACTTCTCTGTCTTCATTTATCTCCTTCTGGCACTCTCTCTTTGCTTCCACCTAGGAAGCAGAGTCATGTATATAAGAGGGTTGCAGTCTTTTCATACCCCACTAACAGTTTCTAATTATCTTTCATTTTTATTATAGCCATTGTTGTTGGTAAAGTGGTATCTCATTGTGGTTTTAATATGATTTCCCTAATGATGCTGAAAGGAGCTCTGGTGGCGTAGTGCCTAAGACATTTGACTGCTATCCAGAAGGTTAGTGGTTTAAACCCACCATCCACTCCATGGAAGGAAGACTGGGCAGTCTATTTCCGTAAAGATTTACCGCCTTGGAAACCCAGAGGAGGTTGCTATGAGTTGGAATTGACTTAATGGCAGTAAGTTTGGTTTTTTTGGACTTGATGGCAGTACCTCTGGTTTTTTTGAATGTTGCTGAGTATTTTTTCATGAATGTATTGGTTATGTTTATTTCTTCCTTGAAAATTTATCTATTCAAATACTTTACTAATTTTTAATTGGATTGTTTTAAAATTACTTGTCTGTGTTTGGTTACTCCCACTAGAATCGAAGCTTCTTATGCTACTGTAGTTGGTTGCCATCAAGTTGATTCTGAGTATGGCAAACCTTCATGTGCAGAGCAGAACTGCTTTATGGGATTTTCAAGGCTGTGACCTTTTGGAAGCAGATTACCAGCTTTTATTTCCAGGACACCTCTGTGTGGGTTTGAACTGCCAATCTTTCAGTTGATACTTCAGTGCTAAGCCTTCTGTGCCACTCCAGGACTCCTTATGCTTCACTTAGGCTGGGATTTTTGTTTTGTTCCTTGCTGTTTCCTTGGTATCTGATACATAGTAAGCACTGAGTAGTTGAATGAAGGAATAAATGAACAAATATGTTAACCAATGTTTCCCAAACTTATTTGGCCACAGGGTCTATTTTTCAGGAATACCTATTAACATCTCATGTAGTTTTCTGTGGAACATACTTTGGGAATTTCTGCCATATATTAATTATTTTAGTTGATATAAAGATTCAAGAAAATTAATATGTTGCTTTTTCTAATTCTTCATATTGACAGATATGATAGATTTTACAGGATTTGTTGGTATTAATTGCCTTGTCAGTATTACTCAAAAGGGCAAGTTATATGTATAGAAAAATAAAGGTTAAAATACTGTGTTGTTGTACTACTGTCCATTTCCACGAAATATAGAAATAAAGTAGGATTTCACCTTTTCTTTTACAATGATCATCATAAAATGATTACTAAAAAGCTAAATTATTTTTCCTGACATTGGGACACAATTGCAAATTGTTCACAGTGCATCATTGTTCTCCTGTCATTTACAAAACACTTATCTAATCTAAGTATACTTCTGATGTTTGCATCCTTTTTATAACATCCTTATCCAAGAGTTTACCTTCCTATTCTAGAAACTCCTGTGTTCTGGTAGAAGGAAACGCATCACCTCCAGAGGCATACCATTCCTTCCTTGTTCAGAAAATTAGTGCTATCAAAAGGTAGGGTTGACTGTCAGGGTTCCTATAGATGGCATGCAGTTGGCTTTTGAGGGCTGAATGGAGAGATTTGTCAATTATCTTTTGGAAGTGCTTTAAGATACATCCAAATTCGTTATTTATTCAACCCATTTTTATTAAGTGCCAGACATATATGAAGATCTGGAGGGAAAAATATTCATTTGATGGAGATATCAATGATTTCCATGAAAGCAAAGAAGGAGCCTCATGTGGGTTTGTGGCTTGGAATATATATGTTCTCTTGTCTTAACTGCTAATGTTATAGTGATACACTGACTTTAGTTCAGTGACTAATCTTCTTTGGGTGGGACTCAAAATAGCTTTATACCAAATTGACTTCAGAGATTCTGCAAGATGGTTGTGTTGATGTTAGCCATTTTGTGTGTCTTTTTTGATGGGTGGGCTGGAGAGATATGGTAGGTATTTGACTCATGAAATAGATTTTTCTTTGTAAATTTTGATACCATGTATATCTCTGATTTATATTTTATATAATTAGATTAACTTTGTGCCACCAAGGAAAATGTGAAGAATATAAGGGAAGAACATTTTTCCCCCATACGTGTATAAATTAGAGGAACCCTGTTGGCACAGTGGTTAAGCACTTGGCTGTTAACTGAAAGGTCTGCAATTTGAACCTATCAGCTGCTTTGTCAGAGAAAGATGTGGCATTCTGCTCAAGTAAAGATATACAGCCTTAGAAATCCTATGAGGCAGTTCTACTCTGTTCTATAGGGTTGCAGTGAGTCAGAATCCACTCATTGAATATCTTTTTTCTGTTTAAAATTTTATAAATGTCCATTTAAGAATTCTGATGACAGTAACCAAGTGCTTTCTTTTCTAGGTAAAATGAAGAATGATGAATCAAATAAAGAAAATTCCTCAGAGATGGATTATTTAGAAAATGCCACTGTGATAGATGAATCTATACTGACACCTGAACAGAGGCTTGGCTTGAAACAAGCTGAAGAACGCTTAGAAAGAGATCATATCTTTCGACTTGAAAAAGTATACTGTCTTGTTTTAGTTTTTGATTGAATATTTGTATTTCATAACTTTTCTTTCCCAAGAATAACTCTTTATTTTTCTTTTTCCATTCATAAGCAAAAGGCAGTGTTCCTCTTTTATTTCTTTCCCTTCTGTTCATCCTTCCTCCTTCCCTCCCTTTGTTCAGCAAATTGTTACGAGTCTCACTTCATTCGTTCTGTGAGTTGGCAAACTATGGCCTAGCCATCTGTGTTTTGTAAACAAAGTTTTATTGACACAGCCACACTCATTCATAGCCATATTTCTATTGCTGCTTTACTGCTACAAGGGCAGAGCAGAGTTGAATCGTTAACGCAGTGACTATTTATGGCCATAAGATACACTTTCTGGAAGAAGTTTGATAAGTTTTTATTTATTTACTCCTCAAAGATCTTGACTGCTTGTTTTGTGTCAGATATAATGCTAGGCATTAGGGCTATACTGGTGAATATGGCAGTTTCTGCCCATAAGAAGTTGATAGTCTATTCAAGAATGACACAGATAAATTAGCGAAAATTACATAATGTATGAGACTTCTTTTTTCCCTTGCTTTTCTTTTTTCTTCTTTCCTCTCCTGTACTTACTGAACATCTACTGTATGTTAGGAACAATTCTGGCTACTGGTACCTTGTTGCTGAGTATTGATTTTTTAACCTAGAAATACTACTAGTTATTGACAGAAAGAATAAGTCATTCTATTGACATAAAGCAGTCTTGGATAGTTGTGGATATGTATACAAGGAAGTAGGACATCCTTTTTGATAAAAAAGAAAGGAAAGGAAATAAACTATATGGTTTTGATAGTTTAGAAAAATGAAGTCATATCTAGATTAAGGAAGCCAATTCTGATTTATTAATAAAATGTATGCCATAGTAGTCACTTTATGAAAACAGAAGGGATATAAAGGAGTAGAAGCCCATAATATAGGCGAGAGCTGAGCATTGTTTGCCTGGTCTCACAAGAGCCTAGTTAGAAGGAAGTCCTTTATGCAGGCTACTCTTTTATTTAATTCTCTCTTTCCTCTAAGCCTGAAATTAGGAACTACTTTTGGATCAGTACATTGGTAGGATAAATATTGTGTGCCTTTCATTTGTCACCATCTAGTAATACAAAATTAAATTGTGGAGGCATGCCCAACATGTTTAAAGACGTGATAATGCTTTTCTAGTTCACTACTTGAGATGTGGAAACAAATAATAATAGTAATAATAGCAGTATAGTTTGAAAATGGGATCATAGGTAAAAGAATGACTAACTTGAAGGGAGGTATAAAGGTATTGCTGGGGAAATGCTTTATGGAATTGACATTGGAGCTGAGTCTCCAGGAATAAATAGGAGTTAACTAGGTGAGCAAGGGAAGGGTGGTGTTGGTAAATTATATGGCAGGTATGAAGGAATATAAAGGAAACGTAAAAAAAATGTATTCTCAAGAAAAGCAAAGGATTGGTAAGGAAGATATGTAGTACATAGAGTAGGAAAAGTCCCCTCTTGGAAGAAGAAACAAGTTGGGGTGGAATGGGTATTGCGTAATAGTAGGATATGAATGGCCTAGGGTGAGAAGAAAGCTTAGAAGCAATGGAAAACATTTTATTCATGGTTGAACTTAGGTGGTTGTTTTGGTTACCTACTGCTGCTCTGACAGGAATATACCACAAATGTGATGGCTTGCACAAACAGGAGTTTATTCTCTTACAGTTTGGGAGGCTAGAAGTCTGAGTTCAAAGTCCCAGGCTCTAGGGGCTGGGTGAAAGAAAGCCTCTCAGCCTTGAGCTTCAGCTCTGCCTCTTGCTCCTGGCCCACTGAAGCTGGAGGCTTTTCTACACTCAGGCAGCTGCTGGCTGCTGAGGCTGACAAACCCAAGGTCGACAAGTGAAAAGGCACAGTACCAGTCTTACCAAATCATACGGCAAGCCATTAATTCAAGTCCATTAAAAGTCCCAAGATCGGGAGAGCACGGCAGGCTGCTGAACAATGACTTCGCTACATGCAGGGTTCATGCATGCCATGTTAGAGACCATTCCCAAAGCTGCTTCTTATATATGGAAACAGACCACATCCCTAGATCAGCTACTCAGCTGCTTGTGGTAGATCCCACCATGGAGTTGATTGCCAGGCTCATCATGAGGAATAACTACCACCAGGCCCAGCCAAGTTGACACACAACCTTAACTACCACAGTTGTCAACAATGAAAAAAAAAGTCACTGTGTTGTTTTTATTAGGTGCCATTGAGTCAATTCCAACTCACAGTGACCCCATTTATAACAGAACAAAACACTGCCCAGTCCTGTATCATCCTCACAATCATTGCCATGTTTGAGCCCATTGTTGCAACCACTGTGTCAGTCCATCCCCTTGAGAATCTTCCTGTTTTTTCTGACCCTTTACTTTACTAGGCATGATGGCCTTCTCTAGGGAAGCGTCCCTCTTGATAACATGTCCAGAGTACATGTTTCTAAGGAGCACTCTGACTGTACTTCTTCCAGGACACATTTGTTCATTCTTCTGGAAGCCCATGATATATTTATCATTCTTTGCCAACACTGTAATTCAAATGCATCAGTTCTTCAGTGTTCTTCATTTTCCAGCTATTGCATGCCTGTGAGGTGATTAAAAAATACCATGGGTTGGGTCAGGCACACTTTAGTCCTCAAAGTGACATCTTTACTTTGGAACACTTTAAAGAAGTCTTTCAGAGCACATTTGCTCAGTGCAATAATTCATTGATTTCTCGACTGCTCCTTCCATGGGCACTGATTGTGGATTCTGTAAAATGAACTCCTTGACAATTTCAATCTTTTCACCATTAGTCATGATTTTGTTTATCAGTCTAGTTCTGAGGATTTTTGTTTCCTTTGTGTTGAGGTACAATCCATACTTAAGATCATAGCCTTTGATCTTCACCAGTAAAAGCTTCAAGTCGTCTTCACTTTCAGCAAGCAACCTTGTGTCATCTGCATATTGCAGGTTGTTAGTGAGTCTTCCTCCAAACTTGATGCCACATTCTTCTTATAGTCCATCTTCTGAGATTATTTGCTCAGAATACAGATTGAATAAATATGGTAAAAGAATACAACTTTGACACATTTTCTGGTTTTAAACCATGACATCCCCTTGTTTTGTTCAAACGACTGCCTCTTGATCTGTATACAGGTTCCACATGAACCAATGACGTGTTCTGAAATTTTCAGTCTTTGTATTGTTGTCCATAATTTGTTATGATCCACACAGTTGAATGAATGCGTTTTCAGAGTCAATAAAACAGAAACATCTTTCTGGTACTCTCTCCTTTCAGCCAAGATTCATCTGACTTCAGAATTGAAATCCTTGTTCTACGTCCTCTTCTGAATCTGGCTTGAATTTGTGCCAGTTCCCTGTTGATACACTGCTGCAACCATTTTTTTAAAAAAATACATTTCATTGAAATGTGATTTATGTACAGTGAAATACACAAAACTAAAGTGACATGGGTCAGTACATTTTTTTTTTTTTTGAAGTGTTCCCTCCCCTCCCACCCCTGGTAACCAAGAAAGTAAGTTTCCTTCCATATATAAACCTTTCTTTGACTTTTTACAATAATGAACTAATACTATATTTGTCCTTCTGTGATTGACTTATTTCACTCAGCATAAGTCCTCCATGTTCATCCATGTTAGGGGTGTTTTGCAGATTCTACATTATTCTTTAGTGTTGCATAGTATTCCATTGTGTGTATGTACCGTAGTTTGGTTATCTCATATTTTCAGTCCAACTCAGAAAAAATTAAACTCACTGCCATTGAGTAGATTCTGACTCACAGTTATCCCCATCCAATTTCCAAGGCTGTAAATCTTTACAGAAGCAGACTGCCTCATCTTTCATCCACAAAGTGGCTGGTGAGTTTGAACCACTAACCTTTTGGTTAGCAGCCCAGTGCCTTAACATCTATCCCACAGAAAAAAAAACCACCAGAAACCAAATCACTGCCATTGAGTCGATTCTGACATATAGCGACCCCCATTGAGTTTCCAAGGTAGTAAATCTTTATGGAAGTAGATTGCCTAATCTTCCTTCCACGGAGTAGCTAGTGGATTTGAACCATCAGCCTTCTGGTTAGCAGTTAGTGGTCAAATGCCAGAGCTCCTTCCTATACCACCAGAGCTCCTTATTTTCTATCCTTTTTTCTAAAAAAAAAAAGTCTAAATTTATTTTATAAATAAAAACTTAATAACCTTTACCTTCTATAAAGTAAATCAGTGGAAATAATGAGGGGATTTTTTTTCTAGTTAGATTATAAGAAGGGTAGGTTTTTTTAAAAAAAAATTTTTTAATGATTTTATTTGTTAGAACAGAATAAAATCTAAAACATATGAAAGGGTATCTAGTAAAAAGCTCCCTCTTCTCTCCAGACAATTCCTGTATACTTTTTTTGTTTTAATTGTGATTTGAGTGAAAGTTTACAGAGCAAGTTCATTTTCCATTCAACAGTTCATAAACATTTTGTTTCATGATGTTGATTGTAATCCCTATAATGTAACAGCTCTCTTCCCAGTTTCTCCCTGTAATAACCATTTCCCTGTGTCCTTGTTTACTATGCATTCCTGCTTTCTGAGCTATCTCCCCGTGCAAATACTGCCCTTCTGGTCTCCTATGGTTGATTATGCTCAGGAATGTACATACCTAGTGTAATTGTTCACCTTGTATGCTTGTCTGTTGTTTGGCTGAAAGTTAAGCCTCAGGAGTGAGTTCAATTCCAGGCCTGAAGAGTGACTAGGGGCTATAATCTCTGGCATTTCACCAGTCTCTTATCAGACCAGTAAGCCTAGTCTTTATGATTTTGGGTCTTATTCCACATTCTTCTCCTACTTTCTCCAGGATCTCCTATTTTTATCCTCCTGCAAGTGGTTGACAGTGGTCGCCAGGCATTGTCTAGTTCTTTTGGTCTCAGGGTCATGTCCCATGGTCCACTAGTCCCTTGGGTTAATTGTTACCATGTCTTTGGT